AAACAAATAAAAGAAAGGAATTTGCATAATTAAACTAATTTCGAAAACAATTAAGGTGTCAGTAGAAAGTTTTGGGCAACTACAGTAACCTACGTAAGATCACGTATGTCAGTTATGATTAGAGCGCTGCGGATAAATCTATGATTGGCATTGGGTCAAGCTGGTCTAACTGTTAATCATTAACAGTGTTAATGTTGCATTCAGGATGAAGAGTATTCCATGGGAGATTATGTATATACTTAGACTTAGAAACTCTTTCAGAACATGGAACCAAATGAATTCAGGATTGACATAAGATCACGTATATACTTGGGAAATTATTTCAGTGATTAGAACAATTGGAGCTTACCGTTGTTCGGTTTGGGTCAATCAAAAGACCAGTTAGGTTCTGATCTTGGAACATCTCCGACTGGTTACGAAATATCACGAGGTTCTTTTCCTTAACTAATTTACCATGCTTAATGAATGTTTCTTAGCACACTCTGTCTCCCAGCTTAATAAGGTAAAATGGGAAGTGCTATTATCTACACGGATAATGTTGGTGGGTATACATTAGTGGAGAAGTGGTTGTATAACATTTCATTGCTTGGTTCACTTGTTCATCCTACTACAGCTCGAATAAAATTTATTTCAAATATATTAATGTGTTCGAAGTTCAGATCTCATCGCTCTTATTTCTTGTGAAGACAAACCGAGGCGTTGCTTAAAACTCTGATAGATAGATGGAATCTGATTGTAAAAACTCACAAGTTCACTATCATCTATGTCCTCCATGACGTCATCATCGAATAAATCTTCATAGCTCTTGAGAAAAGTATTGTTTTGTGTGAAAAATGGAAAAACTAACAGCAAAGTCATCTGAGGAAGCCAAGACTCTCCAGACATCTTTCATTTTTCGGTAATGCGTAAGAAAATCCAGTAATATGAAAAGGGAAATAAACAAAGCGATAAGAGAAACTGGAAATGCAATGGATCAAACACACTCTGATTTACATTTATTTTACCGTAGAAAACAATTTGGAAACGTTTTCTCGGAAGCTTCAGTATTGCCATGATATGAGAATTAGCACATAATGAAATCCACCATATATGTTCAAATATTTGAATGACACGTGGATAATTACATTTTTTCAGTGTTTTTTCATTCAAAAGAGATTATTGACATTCTTGATTAGGATGTATGATGCGTGTGTGTGTGTGTGTGTGTGTGTGTATGTGTGCAGTAGTCAGTGACCCAAGTTGTAACCAGCTTAATAGAAGATTGAGCTGTATAAAGAGAGCAGACAGGCAAATACATTTAAAGAGAGATTTCTTCTTCTCCCTAAAGAAGAACCCTCATTTGCATACAGATGACAAACTGTAAGGAAGACAATCGAAGAATGCGATTGGATTAAAGTGTAATATTTCCGTGTAATTTGATACTCCACTCGTACAGGTGCTGAAAGAGATGTAACACAGGTTATTTCCTGTATCGAAACTCATCCTTTCTGTCATTTTTTCTTCATACTTGACATTCGATACGTGCTCCACCAGAATTTCATAATTTAAACAAGGTTATTGCACATCGATTGCTACTGTCCGTTATGCTGTCGTCCACCTATTGTCATTGGCTTTCATAGATCTCAAATGGGGGATGGTTGTTATAGTCCTTCCATGTCACATTAATATTTTGTAACAATAACAAACTAATTTATAGTAATTTTACTACTTTACACCAGCCACCTGATACTCATTCGTTCAGATAGATGGCTGAAGCTGTGAAAATTACAAAAAAAAATTTATGATGTTGAGGATAATGTCAAGTTGTGACTGGTTTTATTAGCTGTAACTATACATATAGTTAATGAGATATAGGTTTATTATGTGTTTTATATGAATGAATTAAATGGAAAAAAAAATGTCAAGGTCTCTGCAAATGACTGCCTTGGCACAATGTTGTTCATCATCATGTTCTGTGAGGATAACAAGCCCATCTAATCTAAAGATAATCTCTCCTCCTCTCACCTTTAACACCTGTTTTATGGTAAAACTTAATTTATTATAAACATAACATATGCGTATAAGATTTTTGAGGAAAAAAACATTTCCATTTGTCAATGAGCATATGTTGAAGGAAGAGGATATTCATGGCTTTTCATCAAAATTCTTATTCTTTTATACTTATTAGTTGTATTGGGTCAAGAAATATAATGATAGGAATTTGAGCTTTGCTGACCTCATATGGGCAGAAGATACACACATAAGCCTCCCCCTTGGTGAGATAATTAGGGGTAGCAGGTGTAAATGAAAGCAATCTAACTATATTCCATATAAAAGCCTTCCGTTCACTTGTCGGCAGTCCGACTGTTTGCATACAGTTTATTTGAGGAAATTCACTTTCTATCCAACTTCCAGGGCCATCCATGCTTTTTTGAAAACACCAATTAACGCCTTCTTCAGACAATTCTGGACGAACGACGTCTTTTTCTTTGGTACAAGTACGACATTGTTCCGGTCACAATAACTCATTTATGGGCAGTGTCCTTTGTTTTTTCCAACTTTCAAAAAAGATTTCTCATTGATTTTTGCAAGTCGGAGAGATGACTGCCTTCATCTGAATTTACAAACAGTTCTCTGTTTATGGCGAATAATTATGATTCAAAGAGAATTTTTGATCAGTCGCCGACAGCTGCTTCTGTAACTTATCCTGAGCCAGCACATGCTTTGATTTATGACCAAATTTGCATGGAATTCATAATTTTATTTTCTCTTCTCCCTAAAGTTGTAATCTGTGAGACGAATCCTTCTCACCAAAAAAAACATTTGGTTGCCTTTTGTCTTTTTATTTTTTGTTTCACGTCCAACTCAGATTTCCTTTGATGTTTTCATTTCTAGCTATTCATCCCATGTGAGCGGTTGGTTCGTTCACCTTTAAATTACCCCTCTCATAGCTCCCTCTCTCTCACTTCGTCCTTCTATCTCTCTATACTTGCTTATTATACTGCTATTCATCATTCTTGATTGTTGAATAATAGAATAACAGAAGAGGTGATTTCATGTATCGAACCTCCAAAGGTCTTCCTTTTAATATCTGTCTTTAGTCTTTCATCCTTCCGCTCGTGCCTGGCCTTCTGTGACCAGATGCCAGTACAAATGAGATTTTGTCATTCATCATAACTCTTCATTCTCTCACAAAAATTTACCTTTGAAATCACTTAAATATGTTTTTATTAAAATTTCCTTTGTTTAAACACATGTAATGCGTCAGATATCCAGATGTCAGCTTCTAACACATTTCTTTTTCTCATTTTTTAAGTGGAAAACCTCTCATCGTCTTCAACCAATAGTAATATGTTAATTTAGAGGAAGAACATGCTTTTCCTTCCTTCTTCGCTTGCAAAAAATGCCATTTGAATGCAATAACTTCTTGCCCATTACAAACAATCCCTCTCAGCCCTTTACTAGCTGGATTTGATTTAGGTTATAGTTTATCTTTACGGAAATCTGAACGTTCCAAATCCGGACCAGTTTCTCATTTCGGTTACACCTGTTGATCCTTAAGAGGGAGTGTTGGAGATGAGTTTTCATCTAAGTCCTCGTGCCGAATGCCGAACAGCAGGAGGCGGAGCTAAGGACGGATCATCAGAATATCGACAGAGAGAAGAAACTGCTGAGCCTCAAGTACCGCCCTGTTCTTCTTCTCTATCGCTCCTGATCTACTGATGCGACAACGATCATGACGCTCCTCAGACCTTCTTCACCTTTCTCCCAACTTTTTTTTCCATCTCTCATCTGAAAGCTCTTTTAATGATTTTTTTAATTGAACGATGACTCCCCGATTCTTCCAATTTTCTTCGAATTCTTATCGCCAATCCGCCATCTCTCTGAAGCTCAAATACGTTTTTAGAAAAGTGTCTGATGCCGTTTTGTGATAGAAGAAGGATCGTTTTTCGAACCATCTTTTTATCGATTCCTCTCACCAGTCATCTTATTACTTCCAATACGTTTGACCTTACAGAATTTCTTTTTATTTTAAGCAAAAATGAGCTAACGGTTGACTGACGCCACTAAGTCATCGTCCTTATTTCATCGTTTGTCCACACCCTCTCAGCTCTTCCAAATCCCCTCTTCTCTCTCTCTCTCTCATAATTTACTGTTTTCTCTCATATCTTCTTACCGCTATGAAGGTCGTCTATTATCTAGATATTTGTTCCTTATTCTGATGTTCCATTGTTTTGACTTTCTGCCAACCTTTCACCTCCTCCCTAATTCTCAAAAAATGTTGTCCCAACTTCTTATATTCTTCGATCTGAGCTGCTGTTTTTACTTCGGCTGTGAACTGAGATCTCTCTTTTCATCAGAATTCATTCTTTTCAACCCTAAAAAAAGTTTTTGTCCCTCAAATCCTTGTCTTTCTCCTACTGAAATGACTCATCTTACACCTGTTTTTTTCTACTTTCATACCTAGTTACTCACATTCTCCTTCTCAATTCCTATGTGAAACGCATTCATATCTATAATATCCTCTGTTTTCCCTCAAAAGCAACAGGATTCCATCAAACTCTCTCTTCCTTTCTCCTCTCTCTTCGTATAGTTATTATTCTCTTTTAATACTATCCAATTATCGAAATGAGCACTAATCGTTTCATTTTCTTCGTTAGGTTCTCTTCAAATTAGTCCTTTCAATATGGTTTATATTAGGAACGATCTGTCGTCATCAGAATCGTTTGACACACTTCTTCTGGTCATTTCACATGTTTCTTAAGCTTATTCATTAGATGCTCCAGCTTTTCCTTCCCACCAATAATCTGACACGAATAGTTGAGAACAGAGAGAGGGAGAGAGAAAGACAGAAGAAAATGAGATAGATTAACAAAGAATGGAATAAAGGAGAGTGTATATGAAGTGTTAGGAGAGTAGAAGAGAGAAGTGAAATGCAACCGCTCTTCGTCTTTTTAAGATTTAAAATGAACTTTGAAATGTTACTCACGTAATGTTCACGTGTAAGTATGATGCAAATGAGTCAAGAAGGAGGAAATCTTTGGCAGAATTCTCTATAAAAGTCCCAAATGTGTCTAATCTAATATCCGGGCTTGTCCATTTACACGGCATTTCCCATCTGTGCTGACACATTCCGATTGAACTGGCTTGATAATTTGTGTGTAAGAGTACAAGGCTTATAGGGTTTTGTTTACTATACATATAATTAGATGAGAAAAAATGATTTTTCTTATTTGGAAGTGAATTCATTAAGTATTCTTCGGACAAAACTATTTTCTATACGATTATTCATTTGAGATTTCTTTCGATGCATTATTGTTGGCATTTCTTTCACCAAATATGGGTTAGCGATGGATTCCATAGCACATTATTCAAAGCTTTTCAATGGCTGCTGATAGATTTGCTTCATATCTTCTTTTCTGAGAGCTTCTCATGCTTTTCCTCTGAGCTCTCTATGACAGTTCCTGAATAAACTCTTTTAAGATCAGCTTACATCTTATACCAAAGTACTTCCGTTGCAGATTCCCTTCATTACCCATCCCTTTTTTTCCTTTATTATCCATTCTGCTCCATTTTCATTCTTTCTTACAGACAAAAAATTATTTGATTGTCTGTTTCTCACTCTTCTCCCAAGATTTTGTGATCCAATTGATGTCCACTCCAGGTCATAAATTTCAAATCTCCAACACCCGTTCTGAATTTTGTGCACATTTCGATAATCATATGAATAACGTATGTTTCAATGAATCTATGTGATTTTCAACTTTCAACAGCTTCTTATTCAATTTAATTTATATCATTCGCTTATATAGAATGTCTTTTACATGTTTAGCATATTGAATTAGGCTTTGAATAAGCTTCAGTCAGTCGTTTTAATCCACCCAGGCTTCTCCTTTCAAAAACTTATTTTCCAATTAAACTTTCTAATTCTACAATATTTTTTACGATCCAAAAAGTTCCTGCAAATGAAGTTGCAAACTCTCCCTAGTCAATCTCTTTCTCTCTGTATGTCTCTTTATGTCTCATTTTTCAATTGCTTTAAAAGGCTTTGACTTCAGGAAACGCGACGAAAGAAGAGAAGCCATAACAGACCGCAGAGTTGTCAGAAAAAGAATTGAAAATAAAGAGCAATGAAGAGAGAAAAGAATTTTACCCATCATGCCCTCAGGCAGTCAAGTGGTTTACCAATTAACATGACTAGCTGAGCTTCCACTGTCATCCATCACATAACTTCTCTTCAATATGGAGATCTTTCTGTGTATTTGTGGCAATAAAGACTCAAAGATTCACACAAAGGATGGAGCCTGAGAGAGGATAGAGAGAAGGAGAGAGAAGGAGGGAGAGAGAGAGAAGGACCTCCTTTTCTGCTATTGGGATCAGACTCCCACCTACTTCCTTCTTCACAACACATGCCATAGACACACCCCCTAGACAAGAGATATAGAGAGATATTAGAGAAAAAAAGAAAGTCTCAGTTGTGGGAGGCGGTGCAGTGGCCAGAAGCAGGCTGGGTGGGCAATTATTTGTGTTTTTGCAATCAAATCTGCAACTCTCAGTATTCATTCATTGACATGATAATTGTATTTCGTTACCTATTCGTCCTCTCATTACTATATTAACTATATGTATAAATAATAATCATTTGCAGGAAGATTAATGAGTCTATTGGTGAACTGAAAACTAATAATGTCCTTTCTCATCACAAACATCCTTTTCCTCCTGCTGAGTTTCGTCTCATCATTGGACTTACGTGAGTTCCTTTTTATCTTCTTTTTGATTATTTGATGAGAATATGATAAGAAGTTTCGCATTATTTTCGCTCAAATGAACTGACTCGGTCAGATCCGACGAATTACTATATGTGTTGTTTGTAATGAACAGCTTCTCTTTATTAGCATATAAGCTGTTAAAAGGAGAAATCCTTTTGGGACTCTTTGATAAATGCCGCGCATAATGCCCTCAGGACTAAGAATAACAACTTGATGATAGAAACATTTCGAACATATCCCAAAATAGTCCGCAAAAAACTTTTTCAACAGACGTAACAGCAGATGCAAACTTCTGAATTGTTGCGTATGACCTCATATATCTCATTCCTTATCTCCATATTCTTCTTTATTGCCTTTTTATGGAGACTGAAGGAGATGAAGGTGTGAACATCAGATGTTTTCTCAAAGTTCACACTCAGTTCTTTTGTGAGTTTACTGGCTGTCAACTTAGATAGCTGCAAAATGATATGTGAAAAACGGAAGGCAACTGTTCCGGACACGGTCAAAGACCGAGCCGACTCAAGTCTTTCCGGGGTCGTAAGATGGGCTTTCTTCTTCATTAGTTTTATTAAAAAAAGATGAATAAAACAGTGCAACTTCCGTCCTCATTTATCATTCATCTGTCAACAGGCAATATTACAAAATTTATTTTGATGAGGAGAAGATGAAGCTCAATAGAAACACTTCAAACAGTCGGCCGATCGTAAAGTTGTCTCATCTTAGCTCATACCTCGCACCTCCACTCTCCATTCCACAAAAAAACGAGAACAACCATAGAAAGAGGGAGAACTAGAGCTTACGTAAGATCCCATAAATCTCATCATCGCCCATCTATAAATCTTAGTTGTACTTGTTTTTATTAGGATTTTTTGACATATTGTTGTGATTTCTGTGATGGACGATTGTTCTTCCATCTTTCACCTACGTTGTAGACAACGATTGAATTTCAAATGATCATCAACTACTTTCTCTGTTTTCTAAATCTTTTGAGCAAACAATGAGTTGGCGGTTGACTTCTGTTGCATGCAAATTGTATCTTAAGCCATTTATCATATCTCCTTATTTGGCACTTAATGACGCCATCAACTGGCGGCTCGGATGAAAGTGTTCAATTAACGGAAATTGCGTTGCCAAATTGACTTCTCAGCAAACTTCTGTTCCACATAGTTTGTGGAGAATATTCTGATTGATCAATCAAACAATAGGATTTATGCGAAAATCAAATAGAAGAGCCGTTGGCGAGCTTTTGGAATGTTTTGAGCTGAATATATGAGAGAATGACAATGATCGATTCCATCTTCATTTAAATTCCACAATAACTTATGAACAAATAAGGTTGCCACAGGCTCAAAGTGAGGGAGTGAGAGAGATGAGAAGCTTACATCAGAAGCATAAACCTCGGCAACATCTGAAAGAAACTACTAAGTGCTTCTTTACTATATAAAAGTAATGAAGCGAAACGTCAAATAACTTGACGACCGTATTTGATTGTAAATTGGAAGATAAATTGGGAGGGAGAGAAGGAATTGATTGAACATAATGTAATTTGAAATTCAGAAGTCAATCATGAGCTTAACTATACACATATAGTATAGGTGATGAAGCTTTTAAGGATTTCAAATGCTTTTAACATTAATTATAAATGAGATTTTAATGTCTTTCATACATTTTATGACCTCAGCTGCATAATAAAGGTCACATGAATGTATTCTTTCCTTTAACTATATCATATAATTGAATAGAATTTAACTGTTTAATCTGTAATTTGATGATCATGAATGTCAATAGGCTTAGCTATCTTCCAAAAAAAGATTTTCCGCAGTCAAGTGCAAATGGATATGTTTTACCTTATTTGCCATGTTAAGCACAAGAGAAACAACCGCTCTATCCGTCCATCAAGCTTAAAATGAAATACCGACTCATCGCGCACACGTATCTCACGTTGATTTATGCTAATTTTCATTGCAGGAGGATGCAACCGACCATTAGGAATGAGTTCAGGAGCCATATTAGATACACAGATCACTGCTTCATCATCATTTGATACAGAAAGTACAGGACCACAACATTCTCGGTTAGTTAATTAGTATTGGAATTCTTGTAATGAAGGAGCAATTTGTTCCACTTCATTAGATGATGTGAAGACAATACCATAATTGGAATAGATTCCAAGTGATATAGAAGACCATATGGTCACAGATCTTATACTATCTATGCATATAGTTGAAATCTCTCTATCTTCTTTTCCTTCTTCTTAACCATGTCATATACAATTAGCTGTTTTGAGGATTTATAAGGATGCATGTCTTGTTGTTGACAATCAACAGATTGCGCAAAGTCTGCCTTAAGGGCAAAAAAAAGCAAATAAGGGTATTCTGGTCGAGAGGTCAAAAGCTTTCATATGTTGACCTCCTCTCTTACTTGTCTTAATTGAAGGCTTTATCGGAAGTCAAAGCTTTATAGCAAAAAACATTTTTCTGTTAATGACATCTTAAGTGTTCCCTTTACAGTTTGCGTTTACATACGGGAAGTGGAGCTTGGTGTCCTTTGAATCAAATCAATTCAACAACGAAAGAATGGATTGAAATCAATTTCAACCAAGATATGAGTAAGTCTTGTTTATACATATAGTAATTGATCATATGCTTCTTCAGTCATATCAGCCATTGAAACAGAAGGACGATACGATAATGGCAGAGGAATGGAATATGCCAAAGCTTATTCCATCGAGTATTTCAGAAATACATTAGAGAACTGGGCATTATATAGAGGAAATAATGGAAATCATGTGAGTTTTCATCTTTTTTCTCCTCCCGTTTGAAGGGTTATGAATGGCTCATCGAATGTCTTTGATGCAAACTCATACCGACACTCCCATGAAATGAAAAAACGACTGTTGGAACAAAAGAAGTAAATTGGAAAAGGTTTTCTATGAAATAATGTGTAACAGATGCATAAAGGGCACGTCTTCCATTAGATAAAAGAAGCTGAGATTAGTGAGAGAGGTGGCTTTGTGATGCTCATAGGTCAAACAATTACAAAGAAACTCATACGTAATATTGAGATGAGGAGTATGATTGAAGGTCTCATAGACACATCTGTTGCTGAGCTTCTTTAGGAAAAGACAGCCGGTCGAGCAAGTCCTTGACCACTCAAAATACTCAAAAATGTTTCTTTTTTTTGTTCTTCACCGATTTCTCTATCCTCTTCACTTTTTGCTTTCTCTCTGTCAGCTGTCTGGATAATAAAAAATAAGAAGAACTATAGCACTTGCCTTGTATGTCATCTGCTCTTCAAACCCTTCATTCACGTCCTTCCAGCTGAGTACAGAGGAATAACTGTGAAATTGTGATTTTGGATGTGAGTTTGTCACAAATGACAAGATGCTCTCTTATCTATTCAGAGAATTTTGAAGGACATGTCCATAACTGCTGCATGATATGACGAGACGAGGGAAATAACACCAGATGTTCCCTCTTACAGTTCAAATTTCTCTCACAAATAATTGTTTAAAGCCAAGGGAAATTAATTCTCATTTTTTCAATAATTTTCTCGAAGACGGCAAGAGCTCTCTCCGAAAAGGCTTAAACCTACTTTCATCTGCTCTCTAATTCCATTTACAGACGGCTTCTGACGTCTAATTAGTATGGGAAATCCTAAGATTACAGTTAATTTTTGGAAAAACCTTTCTCGTTCCCATCTATCTCTCACTCTCTTTATTCCTCTGCGGGTCACTGGGCATGCTTAATCCGCAGTGGTCAAGGGAAGCTCTGTCTCTCCCGTGTTAAACCAATATATTGGCATTTGCTGTCCAAATAAATTCTGTGTCAGAGGATTAACGGTGACAGAAGGGAATAAAAAAAAAGGATGAGAAGTCATTAGAAAGATTCTGTTACGGTCCGTCAGATGACGCAATAAACGAACCATAAAAGGACCATACTTACGTCGGATTAGTAGACGTCAAACGGTGTTCTGCCTTTTCCAATAAATTGTTTTGGGCCAGAAAGATTTACAATAAAATTCTTCCGAAAGATAAATTTCAATTGTTTTCAGATCATTCCGGGAAACACAGATACTCGTACAGGAGTTTTAAGAATTCTGAATGGGACCATTATAGCTCGTAAAATACGAATAATCCCAGTATCCAATTCAACTCGAACCGTCTGTTTGAGGTTTGAGGTTTATGGATGTCCATATAGAGGTAAAGTTGAATAGAAAACAAAGAAACTATAAACATTCATTTTGAAGATATCGTAGAGAGCTATTCAATTCCCATTGGATCCTTCTCTGATGGTTTAATGTTATTAGACAACACCTATGATGGACGTTTTGATAAAAAAATGCAGAAGGGTGGCTTAGGAAAGTTATTTGATGGATTTATTGGTCACGACGATTTTGAACATCATCCTGACAAATGGATTGGTTGGCATAAAGATGCTGAGATTGGTTAGTTATCCTTCAACACACATGGCTTACCATCATCTTTTCAGACTTCATTCCACTTTTCTTCACGTTCTCTGGAAGACAGAATATTTCATCGATTCTTATACATACGAACAATCAATTCAATCAGCTGGCACCAGCTTTCTCATCAGCTTTCATCTCTTTCTCACTGGATGGACATAACTTCTCCAGAAGAGCTGTTCACTTTCAATACAAAAAAGATAATAAGTTTGAAAACTCCCGATGGATCAGAATTCCAATCCCTGATAGAATAGCCAAAGCTGTAGAGGTAAACTTGCACTCAATTCATTCAATTCATTGATATCCTTCTTAAGATCAAATTGTACTTCCAAGAGGAAGCCACTTGGTTATTGATATCAGAAGTTAAATTCGAGACGAATCGAATAATCTTTGAAATACCCGAGGAAGAATCTCATGAAGACTTTGTCCTTCACCATGTAGCTGAGAATGAACAGAGCGAAATGTTCAACTTCCATCCTTACTGTAAGTTTCTTGCCAGTTATACAATAACTCAGTTATCTCTTGCAGTGCTCTCTCTGATCGTCTTCTCCATGATTATCTTAGCTTGTGGATTCTTCGCTATGAAACGTAGAGATCGTAGAGTTAAAGCTTCATCTCCGGCCCCAACTCTTTACAACCGCCGTAAAATGGACACCCTCATTAGTTATAACGGGACTAGAGTAAGTTCAATTACACAAAAAAATATAACTCATCTTCATTCTTAGACAATGACTACAACGCTGTCCGGGTATGAAATGACAAGAGAGAGTATGCCTACCTTACTTGAAAAGTATCCTATTCTTGATTCCATCGAATCTGAGTATGCCGAGCCAGAGATGTGGTAAGAAAGAAATGAAACTGATTGAAAACATCACTCTTACTTATAGCTCTGATAATATCTACAACCCTCTTCTATCGTCATTCTACACATCTGATGAAACTTTACCAATGGATTATAAGAAACGGTAAGGCTGCGAGTGTAAGATACTTCCTCATCAAGCATGTTTCAGCAATCCTTTATCTTCTCTCGTAAAGTATTCTGACTATGGAGAGGTTTATACAACAACTCTACCAGAGATCGATAGGAATAAATTGGAGTTCGTTGATAAAGTTGGACAAGGAGAATTTGGTGAAGTACATTTGTGCCGTCTGGAGAACAGACTGGTGGCTGTCAAACGTTTGCACAGTACGTCTGAGGAAGACGAAATGGCTTTCCAAAGAGAAATCCGTGTTCTAGGTTAGTTATATTCTATTCCCTAGGGAAATATAAAAGCTGCTCGAGAAAAACACGACCGGGTATTGCTGCCTGAGAAATAGAAATGAAAATTTTCACGTGTTTCACGTAAAAACGCTTAGTGATAATTCTTATTTTCAGGAGCGTTGAAACACCCAAACGTGGTAGAGGTTATAGCAGTTTCCACTATTAACAAACCAATTCTTTGTGTTATGGAATATATGCCTAGAGGAGATTTGAAATCATATTTCAGTACTTTGCCCCAAATTACGTGAGTTTTACCTTTTCTTCCGAAGACATTTCAATATACATCTTTCAGCTCTGCCAATTGTCTTTCCGTATGTACTCAGTTAGCTGCAGGTTTAGCTTATTTGGAATCTTGTAACTTTGTCCATAGGTTCGCATATACAGAAACTTTAATATACGAAACGTTTACGTTTACAGGGATGTTGCGGCTCGTAATTGTCTTGTTGATGATGAAGGCAATGTTAAGATTGCTGACTTCGGAATGGCTCGTTCTCTATACTCATCTGAGTATTATAAAGTAGGAGGAGGCAACTTCGTACTTCCAGTTCGTTGGATGTCACCAGAAGCTCTATTTATGGTTCGTATACTTCCGTCCTTCAGCTTCATTTCATAATTCTTCAGGGAAAGTTTTCCACAGCTTCTGACGTTTGGTCATTTGGAATCACCATGTGGGAGATTTTCAATAAATGTCAACTTCGACCATACAGTGATTTGCCAGACGACAAAGTCGTCGCAAATCTTCAGAACATATGCGGTACTGGAAAAATAGAGGTGAGATAACTGTATTAGAAACATGCCTAAACATCTAAATTACAGAGTTCATTACCATGTCCTTCCCTCTGTGCTTCTATCCTCTATCATCAACTGATTCTCAGATGTTTGCATCCATCCGCTACAACAAGACCGACATTCGGATTGATTCACTTGAATTTGCAATCTTTCATTCACTCAAACAAAATTAATTTATAGATTGTTAAGATGGAAAGAACTTCTTAACAATCAGTTGTTTATCTCAGGATAAGCTCTCTTTATTCCAAATACGGTTCGAATCTTCAGTGATCTGTATATCATTTCCAATCAATATTCTGTACATAAATGAATAAATTTTTATTTTTCTTTATCAACGAAGGCTTCGAAACATTTCTTCTTCCAAACCAAAAAGCTTTTGCTTTGCTTCTGTTCCAAACGTCTGTGATCAAGTTGTGAAAAGCTGACCGCTTGTTGGAAACTCACTCGAAAGCTTTCTTCAGAAAGATCCAAAGACTTCTCAATCTTATTGATTATTGCAGATAGTTGTTCTAATTGAAGTTCTACATCAGCTTCCATATCAACTTCTTCCTCTTCCTCAACGTTCTCATCCAACAAGTTGTCTTTGGCCAAGAGCTCCTTACCTACATTCTGATATCAATAGGGTCACGGTATTGAACAACCTTTCTTCATCAATGATTCCATGGCATCTGGGTATTGCCGTAGAGATTCCCACAAGGCGTTTTTCGATAGAACGTAGAGATCAGAATAACCAACAGAGCGAACATTAGCTGTTCTACGGTTTCCATTCTTGTTTCCCGGAATATTCAGAATAGACAATTCTCCAAAAACAGTTCCCTCAGCTAATTGAACAAAGACCTGTACAAGCAAGTATCATGCTTTCAGGATAGTATATTAAACCTGTTGACCGTTCTCGGATACAACTTCAACCGCACCTTTGTTCACTATGTACATTTCTGTTCCGACTTCACCTTTATTGCAAATGTAATCCTTTGGGCTGTACACTCGTCTTTCTAATCGAAGAATGAGCTCATATAAGAGGTTCACGTTACAGTTCTGTAAGCCCAGTCAGTAAGCCCTCCTGCAACAAGTACAGCTAATGCATACCTCAAACAGTTTCACACGCTGCAGGGTTTCCATATGGATATGAACTGCTAATTGACCGTATAAGCGAGGAGGTAGAAACTCAGCGATCTCCTGCAAAGTAAGGTAGTATTTCAAATGCTTTCAAATTCAACGCACAGATTCATCGACTTGAGCTCCTCCATGTGTCCACATGTACGAAAAGTAATCGACAGCCTTCCGTTGGAGAATCGTATGAACCTTTCTTTGGCAAAACATATTTTCTAAATTCTAAATGCTTAGTTACCTGTAGACCATAAACCTCTTGCATCCATCCAAATCCTCTTCAAACTGTGATCGTTTCAAATTCATGTTGTAAACCATATTACCTTGAAAGAATCAGGAAACTACTATATGCTTTCTTTACCAATGTCTCCGACAATGACGGCGAATATGACTAGGCCCAGCAAAGTGTCTCCAATCTCAAAAGAGTTTTGAAAGGTAGTGTTCGGCCAGGGCTTAAACACATTCAGATGTTATGAACCAACACATCTTTTACTTGTTCTCCTAGCGTGACAAGAGTCAAAGCTGACCAATAAAAGCTTAATCCATACTGCTTTGTGAAATTACTGAACTCAACTTCCTTTATTCTAAATCAGAATGTATCTTATTAATAGAGGAAACTTGTTACTTTGGTCCCCAGAACGAATTGGAAAGTTCTATCTCAGAATCAAGAGACTTCTCAGAAATTATCCCCAATGGTTTAAGAAGGCTAACATTACAATAGTTTGAATGAGAAGAATCGAAGATATCGCACTGAAGAAAGAGTGGATTGGGGATTTTGTCATAGGAGAAGATCCAATTATCGATATTTGCCTCTTCAATTAGAAATAGTTGAATAGAAAACACATAGAAAAGCACTGACTCTCAAAGTCATAAATGATTCCAAGGAAGAAGTATACACATCCATTCCAATGGAAGATGATAAAACATGTTATGATGAGCTTTAACACTCTCATAAAATTTGGAAAGTTTGTGCGAATTTCAGTCAAAGCATTGAACTCGCTGATACGATAGCACTGAACAGGTAAAGTATTCTGAATTATCATCACAGCTAGACCTTCAAGAGACGATTCAGACGGGTTACTGACAAGTCTGATTTCAAAAACAACAGAAGATCGAAAGGTAGGACACAGATGATATCCAGAACAAAAGTCTTCCTGAAATGGTCTGTTCAGTTCTTCTTCATTGACAATAGCTCTCACTGTCGAATTCGATGAAGAAACACGTCTTTGTTGTTACTTATTCTCACCCCATCTTCGATTATTTCTGTAAAGGAACAAATCATATGGATAACAGGGAAGTGTTGACGGAACCCCTTCTTGTCAGAATAAAGATATCTAGGAGGAAAAACAAGTCAAAAACAAGGTTGAAAATGAGCCAAGGATTATGGAAGTTGAGAAAGACCTGAAGAGGCTAGTAAGCTATGGTGGGATCAACCGAATGAACTTCATCAAACACCATTATGATAATCATAATGAGATTATATAAACATCCACAGAAGATAATAAATGTCCAAACATAGTAGAAAGTACTTGTATCTTCGAACGACCATTCCATCAATCTCCTTCAACGAGAAGAGAAGATGAGGAGGAGTTGAATGGCTTTACCTGACACCTGATTTAGTGGATTCGTCACTATCCATCACATCATTTCGGAAGATTTGAGAAATATTATGATCGCTGGCTGTTAGACTGTTACTTCTTTTCTTCTTTTTGTTTTTCAATCGTTTTATAAACTGAACGAATACATAAAACTATAGATGAGATTAAGATTCTTACAAGAACAGCCTGAACTATAAGACGAAAGTTGACGGAACCCGGCGAATCCGGTTGAACCAGCATGGTAGAAGAATTAATAAGAAATGCTTGATGAAGAAGCCCTCTCCTCAGTTACCTTAATCGATGAAGATAGGAAGCTTTCATGAAGACACGCGATGGACATCCGCTCATTCCCTCCCAAAGCAATATGTTAACCAAATTGCAAAGAAGTCTTCGTGTTCTCATATGAATTATAAATTTCCCAAGCAATTAGTTTATTTGAAAGAAATTAATGAAGGGGTAGTTATCATTTACATATGACCCGGTTTATGATGGAAAAGAGAAAGTTGAATGACCTTCTAAGACAGTTTGCCTCATCATGTAAATTGAAGGTTTCCATGTTCCTTCCTGAGAGCTATGAGGACGCAAATGTTTTTTACCTTTCAAGTATTTGTCAGAATGAATCACTTAACAAACCATAAGATGCTTGATAGTTATCTTAAAATCAAATCCTCAATCAGGATATTTGTCTCATCTCACCTACTTCTGACCACTTGTGAACATTGGGAGAGGACTGTTCACCTCCCACTTCTTCCATCTCCTAGCTTTTATTAATTCTATTCGCATCTGTTCAAATCTTGTTCAGAAAGTTTTCAAAATTACGTTTGAAATGCTTTGTGCCTGTTTCTTACTGATCGTACAATACCTTTTCACTTCATTCCCGTAAGTCTCAAGTTTTCTCTGTCAAACAGAATTCCCTCCGTTTTTTCAAATCAAAACCCATCAACTGGGCAGTCCTAAGGCCCTTTATGGAAATTCGAAGTTTGGAACTTGTCTTGTACGCCAACCCTTTTACATGTTTTCTGGATAAGAAATTAGTTTATTCCGAAAGTATGAAAACCATACGAACGACTCGGTCAAACAGCCGGTCGAGGTGATTTTGTATTTCTTCCAGATTCATCAAATAACCACTTCATGTCCGGTTTTCGGTCTCAAATGGCTTAAGTCAGCTATTTTTCGGATGTACTTCAAGAAATTCATTTCAATTAACTAATTTGTAGAAGAAGTTACATAGAATTGAGGGAATGCTCTTAAGTTGGGGGAAAACTAAGTGAAATTCATGATTTCCGGTTTTTCTGTTCGATGATGTTCAAATGACCTTTAACGTCCTTTCAACTTATAAGCTTTTCACATGGCTTCTTCTAAAAACCCTAATTATAACATTTCAAAACATAATAAAAGCCTTACAATTCATCTCTTACTTTGGATGGCATGTAAACCATATCAGGTTTTTCGTTTTCCCAGGACCTTCTTGAAATGGCAGCTTGAACGGCTTATTAATTGCATCTAGTTTGCTCGATTCAAAAAACCAATATACAGTCATGAATTGGTCTATATAAGGACAAATTCCTGCTATCCCATTCAATCATTCTAATCATCCATTCCTACGGAATCAGCATGCATCTTAGACTTCCTTAAAAACTGAAAAACCTCAGTTTCGAATTGATTCCGCTTCTTCTCGTTATCGTGATACTTATCATTGTTTTAGCACTTGATTCTTATCTTATCAGTCTTCTTGGAAAAAAATATTTTGGAGATATGGGGAATTGAACCCCAGCCCTCTCCCATGCTAAGGGAGCGCTCTACCACTGAGCTATATCCCCACGTGTTGATGGGTAAAAGGGTATCAACAGATCCATGAAACAATAAATCTTGATTTCAAATCATCTCATGATAGTTCAGTTGGAATGTCCTAAGTTCCCATATGAGACTGGTTTCTTGAGAAATGTTTAGCGAAAGAAACATGAATTTTGATTGTAGTTCAAGAAAAAAAAGGATGTGGTATTCTAATCTAACAGGTCGCCATTTCGTTTTCATTTTTGAATGTTGTATTTACTGCAACATATTTCTTTGGAGAATGGCTGTTTGCAATCATTAAAGCTTTCTTTGTTACCTTATCCATTATCTGGTTTCGTTTGACTGATTTATATAGCCTTTATGGTATGTTGTAGGGAACATCTTCACTTTTCTTACTAGTTTACCTTCTATTCAAATAGATATTTGACTTGAAAATCTGATGAAACAGGTCGTCTGGTCAGCTCCGTCCAACAGGCGATTCTCCCTAACCATCACTTATGATTTCACTCAAAAGCTAGACGATTACGGTAAGTGGGATTAGAGGGAGGGCTTATTCAAAAAAAAAAGAATGCTTTCGTTCTTTTCCTTACTCATTCAAGCCCTGTAGCATTCCATTCTCTCCAACATCTTTTCTTTTTATAGTGTAGATATGTACACTATTCCACTCACGTACAAGGACATAAAGTCACTTGAGACGGTAAGAAGCAGTAGTTCATCCTATCTGGTTTATAAGCTTTTAAGCTTATATGAGGCTTCAGTCTTATAATCAGGTACCTCCCTCTCTTCCTACTTAAAGCCCTTTAATCGTTCCCCTTCCTTATGTTATCGTCTATGCCATTATGTTATGATTATGACAGTCGTGCACCATCGTGCAACACATGGCCCCCTCGTGCTTACCAAGACTTTCTTCCCAGTTTATTTCGGTCTTTCTTCTTTCATACTCCAGCAATTATGTACAACTCCGCCTCTCTGTCCTCACAATCTTTTATAAGAGTAAAGAAGAATTTGAACTTCATTCGAATCAACCTTTCGTTCTCTTTTCTCTAATTTCAATTATCTCTTTTGCTGTTCTGAAAAAACAATTTCAGGATGAGTGAAAAACAGTCACTCGTAGATATGGAAAAAGAGGCTCAAAGCCTCAGAAAGTAAGTAAGAGTTCAGAAACATTATGAACAGCTTGTGTATTAAGAGTAGCATTCATGGGAGTGTCGATGGCTACCATTGCTACTGTCCTTTGCGTTGTTTCGGTTCCCATGCTTTACAATTATATGCAACATATGCAATCTATTATGCAAAAGTAAGTTCTGTCTTCAGTTTTGATTTTCTTTTTCTTTAGTGAGGTTGACTTCTGCAAGTCCAGGTCTGGTAGTATCTGGAGAGAAGTTTCAAGAACTCAGGTGAAATCGAAAGCATCGTCATTCATCTTCACCAATATCCTCTATAGGTTTTAGCAAATGTTTTTGGTAAATCTGTTTCAACATCTCGACATGCACGTCAAGCTGGCTATGGGTAACCACACAAACTTTTACCCAATTGAAATCTTTATTAGTGTCTTTAGATACAATAATCCTTCGTTAGCCGTCGAAAGTTCGTTTGGTGGCGGATGCTGCGGTTGCGGTGTTAGCCCACCTGGACCTCCTGGTCTACCAGGATTAGATGGCAATGACGGAGACAATGGTTCCCCAGGAGAAGATGGTCGAGACGGTCCTGATGCACCACCACCACCACCACCACAACTTGTCGTAAGTTGCTAGCATCACTGCGTCCGTTTAATGATAATCAAGGATTGGTGCTTCGACTGCCCTGATGGACCAGCAGGACCTGCAGGTCTTCCAGGTCCCAAGGGACCAAATGGAAACCCAGGAGCACCAGGAGACCAAGGAAACCCTGGTAACAATGCAGCCGGAGGACCACCAGGACCAATGGGTCCACCAGGAGAACCAGGAGAGCCTGGACGCTCTGGCCCACCAGGACAACCGGGAACGGTCAAAGAAGTTCCAGGTCCAGATGGACAACCAGGTCCAGCTGGCCCACCAGGACCTTCAGGACTTGATGGTAAGTTCATAACGAAATCGAACTTTTCTCCGGTACATAACCGGTCCCGAAGCTTCTCAGTTATTGCTTGAGTACTTATGAACCAGATCAATGTGTTCATTTGAAGAAGCTAGTCATAATAGGCGATGAAGGTTGTAAAATTCAATGACTTCGCTTCAGGTCAACCCGGAATCCCAGGATCTCCAGGAGCTGATGGTTCTCCAGGTGATGCAGGAGACCAAGGATCTTCAGGACTACCAGGCAAACCAGGTTCAGGTGGTCCACCAGGTCCAGATGGTCTTCCCGGACCAAGTGGAGGTTGTGACCACTGCCCACCACCCCGAACAGCCCCAGGATATTAAAAATCCTGAAATAATATGTATTGTATTTAACAAGAAAAAGGAAAATAGTATTGAATGGATAGATATTTCCTTAAAGACTTTTCAAAGTAATGTTTGCTGTGTCTTTCAAAATAAAAAATGTATTCCATTGTTTGTAACGATTGAACAGCTTACAGAGCTACAGTGCGATTAGAACCTTTAATTGAAATTTTTAAAAATGTTTTTACCCAAAAAAATCCTCTTTAGCAGTTGGTGAACATGCATCAATAGAACTGGTTCAATCAATTCCTATTTTGCAAAGAAGGTCATTTGATGACTTCTGAATCTTCCCCTTTCACTTCAGCAACCGTTTCACTGATCTGTTTACTTCCTCAATTATGTTTCTCCTCTTTCTCATATTCATAGCTTTACCACTATCACTATCTCAGTTCGACAGTTTCTCAGGTATTTCCCTCCCTCCTCCTTTAATAACTTCGAACTAAAGAATTCCCTCCGCCACCGTGGCACCATCGTCCACATCATCATCGGCATCATCATCCGTTTGGCCATTGGCATCATCCCCCACCATGGCGAGGATTTCACTTTCCACCACCCGAAGATTTTTTACCTCCTCCCTCATTACCACCACCTCCACCACCTCCAGCTCCAATTTCTCCTCCCCCTGCCCCTCCACCTCAACCCATGCCAAGTCCTTACACACCTGAGATGCAGAAAGTGAATTTCATTTTTGAACCTCAGTTAATGAAATAACATTTAAGGTCATTCAAAGTATAAATAAGAAATCCGAGCACTTTTCTAAATCTGGAGAGAACTATGAGAATGTTATAAAAGTTCTCAAAGATTTTTATAAAAAGAAGACAGGACTTCAATATGTATAGCATACTCTTGAATTGAAATTCTTGTTCCTTTTCCAGGATTTTAGTAATTTCAAATTACCCACTGTGACAGGAAGGTCAGAATTATCAGCAAATCAGCGAACAGCTGGAATTTTTTATGAGAACGATGTTGTTTTAACATTATCACAAGCGAGAACGATCACAAAGGAAACTAATAGAAAGAAAAGAAAAGTTACCTTCCCCCATCCAACCATGTAAGAAGAAAACGTTTCAGATAGTCAGCGATCTCTCCAAACGATGGACGCGAAGTATTTCTTTTCGCTTTCAAGAGAATGATGGTATGAAAAGGTGCAATTCCAATACGAAACTTTCTTTCTGAAGAAGAATGGAAAACTTCGATTCGATCAGCCATTTCCGTCTTCACTTCATCAACTTGCTTGAGTTTCATTGAAAACGGACCTTCAAGAGATTATTTGATATTCACCAAGGGTCAAGGGTTAGCGATGATTAGAAGGCAGTTGTAATCTTCACTATTCTTAGATGTTATTCTTCTGTCGGCAAACTGGGCGGATCTCAAGAAGTATCAATTGGATTTGGGTGTGATGGAGTGATAAGATAATGGGAAGCTAGGAATAAAACATTATTTCTAGGAAGGAGTTATTTCACACGAAATTGCACATTCTCTTGGCTTATGGCATGAACAATCACGACCCGACAGGAATAACTTTGTGAAGTTCAAAGCTCATCCATTTTCCATTAAAATCTTAACTTCAGGATATTTCCGCAGAATATGATGAGTGGTGCACAAGCTCAATTTGAGCGTTTGAACACTACAATCACATCAGACTACGGTGTTCCCTATGATTATGGTTCCGCTATGCATTACCCAGTCTTTGTGAGATAATTCGATTAGGCACAGAAAACAAACTTCCGATTAAGGCGTTTGTCCGTCAAAGCGGACTGACTTCGATAGAACCAACTGATAGAAGTTTTAGGAACACTATAGGGAGCAGAGTATCATTGTCTTTCTTAGACGTTAAAGTTATTAACGCAGCATATTGTTCAAGTTGATCCACTCAAAGTTTTCTCACCGACAGAGACTCTGTTCAGATGTTTGCCAACAATCTCTTCCATGTCAGAACAATGGTTATCCACATCCAAATGCTTGTACTAGATGTTTATGCCCGAGTGGTTTCAGCGGAAAATTTTGTGAAAACTTGGAATATTCAGGTAGGTAAAGAACCATCATTGTCTAGCTCACAGCTTTCTTAAGAGTTTGGGTCAGAGCTTGTAGCTACAAGCAGTTGGAAAACATTACGTTATCAAGGCAGTTTGCAGTCATTCTGGAGAATCAGAGTGGTCTGCTCATTGAGGTTTCACTCCATTCAATTACTCGATGTATTTCAGGCACAAGGAAGTAAGATAGTGTTCGAATTTACAAGTGTCTATTTCAAATGTTCACCTAGCTGCGAGGAATTCGTAGAGGTTTGAAACTAACTGATATCGTTAAATACAGCATCAGATCAAATACGGTTATCGTATGGATCAGACAGGTTCCAGGTTGTGCTGCCGCCAAGATTTTGGTCAAAGAACATCATTTTCTAATCAAGTTATCATAATTGCACACACAAGTTCTCAGTCAAACTTTACAATGAATTACAAATTAGGTGGGATTTTCATTCTCAAGGCTTACAATTCCCTTAATAGTTCCCGAACAGCGAGCTCCAAAAATACCTCCACAACAACCAAAGCCCATTCGTCGTGATCCTTCAAGTATGCCTATACTGCAGAATGCTTGAGATAAATTTGTTTATAGGATGGTCAGGATGGTCTGCTTGGTCGTCTTGTTCAGAAGCTTGCGGTGCTTGTGGGAAAGAGGAAAGAACGAGGACTTGCTTGAGCAGTTCTTGCAGGTATTTGTGGAAATCAGCTATGACACTGCAATGACTCATGTTTTCTAGAATGAACAGTAGACAATCACAAGCAAGAACTTGTAACTTGAACCCGTGCAGATCAGGAACAACTCGAGGACGAGGAAAGAGGAGTACTCTTGAAGCTCGGGGTAACAAAACGAAAACAGATGATTCATATAACTTCTTTAGTGAGACATAAAAGACAAACGTCTTGGTGCTGTGCAGGGTATAAGAAGACGACGACCAACTGGTGTTCACAGGTATAAAAGTACAAAATGAGAATAATAAAATTATTTATTTGAAACTATCAAAAGAATTCTATGAAAAACTCATTTTTATCAGAAAATTATGATATATACCCGAGGAATGTTATGTTTCCTTTTACTGCCTATGAGATGGGCTCATAGACTGTCGACGCTGGTTTTCTAAATCGCGGTCTTTCAAGCTGTCGGAAATTCTCTTCTTCAATTCTGTGGGGAAGCGATCATAACATCTCTTGCAAGTAGGTTTCATATCGAATTCGTAGAACTTAGTTCTGAACAGCTCGTTTGTATGTTTTGATACTAGCTCGCTCTACTCACTTGTGGTCCATTTTTTTGTCACAGAATGAACAGGAGAAGCATTTGATACACCAAGTTTTTTGAAGAGCCTGGAAAACTTCTCCTCCACAAGCTTCTCCACATTTGAAGCAGAGGTTTCCAAAGAGCTATAAGACGTGTGTTCATTATAGTAACAAGATTTTAATATACTTTGTGATAGTGCTGATCGCAATACGCAAGTCCTTTCCTTTCGTAATGTCGATGACCTAAGAACGGCTTCTCACATACAGAGCAAACGAAATGCTGAATTTCCATATTAGCAATGAGAGCAGATAACCAAATCCAACCTCAACATGCCAGTTTTTCCCTAAGGCTGTAACAACTCTTTCTTCGATAGGTCGATGGCAAGCTCCACAAATAGGAATTCCCATCGTGTCATGACAACGAAGACAATACAGCTCTCCTCCTACTTCACGCGAGTCAACTGTGAGCTCACAACTGAAATTGGCTTCTTAGACATATTCTAATTTCATACGTGTATTTCACGTGTCCCGTGAGCATTCAGTACGGGAGCTTTCATTTTGAAATTTAATTGACGCCAGAGCGGTTGCACTAGTTCAGATGAAAAAGAAACGGTTCACAAACCTGCACTTTTTGCATTTGAAATGGTACGGGTGGTATGAATCTCCGCGGAATTTGATATGTTGACCTTCGTCAATCATAGCATTACACTTATGGCAGACATAACGTCCAGATCCTGCAGCCTTCTCTCTTTCGTTACATTCTCTGCACAATGCTCTATAAGCAAATAAAAACTTGTAATTAAAAATAAACAAATTATCGGATAGTACCTTCCGGCATTTCGGAGAAAACCAATGTCAGCTAGCTCTTTACTACACAACTCACATCGGAAACAATGCGGATGCCAGCTGGCATTCATCGCTTTGATCACTCGACCAACGATAAATTCATCTGAGAAGAAAAAAAAATGAGATTTCGAAGAATTAAACGACTATTCAGGATATATTCAAATGAACTCACTGCATTTTCCACAACATGGAGCATAGAGTACATGGAAATCATGTTCACAATACTTTCTTCCTTCAAATTCAAAATAAATGCCATCAGGGAAGGGTTCGAAACATTGTGCACATCTATATATGAATGAGAATGAATATAAAACAGAATGAAACATACACGAAGCATTCTGAATGCCATACTTGACCAGTTGAGTTGACAATTTGGTCTTGTAGAGAGAAGCCATCAGCACAACTTGAATTAATAAAAAAATGAATGGGACAGTAGAAAAGAACAAACCGAACACAAATTAAATTCTCAAAGCCATGTGCGAGTTCTCCATTGATGTGAGCATCCATTCCACCACACACCATCTGTAAGAGAACAATCGATGATGACTCAATGCAGAATTCGAAAAACACAAATATTCTGGTAATTTTTGGGAATTTTTATAAAAATAAAATAGTGAGTGGTAAATGCCAATGCGTAGGAGTTGGATAGCAATAGCTAACACAAGAAGAAGCTTAGTGTAAAGCAACAACAGCAGTAGCTAAGCAGAAGGAGAAGAAGATTGAGAAGAGCCCAATATTCAATTTTTAACTAAAAATATATTTTCATATGTGTACAAACATGCAACTTCATTATCACTTTTCTGATTAGACAAATTCAATTATATGTTATAATTAGCAGGTAAGAGAGAGAAGGTAATGGAATTGAGGGAAAATGGCTTGTGGGAGAGGGAACAGTCTGTCTAAGGAGAAGTGTACGAGAAGGAACAACAAAAGAACAACGTTTAGTCATGGTTAGATGTGAAAAGCTTGAAAAGTAGTTGGCAAAAAGCCAGATCGAAACAAAAATTTTGGTTTTGAACTAACACGAAACGGGTCTTTAGATTGGGGCGGGTCGGACATAAGCATTGATCCCCAAGAGAAAAGAGAAATAAAAAGAAAGAGTGGGCAGCAGAGGAGGATATGTAAAAATGGTGAAAAGAAGAAGAAGAAGATGAGCAAAACTTACATTTATATTTGATTGTTGATATTCCATATAATCTAAAAGATATAATTGATTAAATACTTTACAGATTTGAATAATTTAGAGAAGGAGAGATGAACGACGAAACATTGTGTCATCTGAAGAGATGATTTGGGTCAAATGTGTATATATGAAGAGACACAGAGGAACCGAATAACATCGATCGATGAGAAAGAAAGAACAACATCAATGAGAAGAAGGAGAGGGAGAGATAGAGAGATAGAGAGAGAAGGTTAAGTGAATACTAGGTAAACTCTCTTATAATTTCTCAATAAAAGGAAAGATTGAGAGAACCAAAACAAATATGACGTACATGATCAAGCTTTGTTAAAGAATAATGGAATACAGAGAAAGTGAGAGAGAAAGAGAGATAGATGGAAGGAAGAGATAGAGCTTTGATTGAATCCATCCTGTGGAAGTTTGTGATAATTTCCTATTTTTGGGCTCAGAAGGCTCAGTTGATTCTCTTCTACAACTAAATGATGTCAAAATTAGACAGCAGAAATGGTTTTGTCATGCATTTCTACTGAGGTTCATCTGTTGGTCTCTCTCACTCCCTCTCTCCCTCTCTCTTTATTCATTTGACACAGATGGTTGCAGACTATGTGTAGTCAGTACTTATACATGGCAATCTCGGCTTTAAACTGGAAAAGCTAGGAAAGCCAATCAAGTTGTTGCAAACGGAAGTGTGAGAATTGAGTCGTTGAGAATGAAGATTTTGTAAAATGATGTCGAAAATCCTTCTGACCTGTCGATGGCATCTGTGACCTCACAATCTCGTAAAGACTTTAGGTCATTTATCTACCGTAATAAGGATGAGTAAAGGAAACATTGAGTCACTTTATCTCGAAAGGACAACTAATCTACTAACTATATGTATAGGTAGACTTAATTACATGAGAGTTTATGTGAATCTCTAGAACAGAAAAAAAAGACGAACAACATAAGTACGAGAGGGAGAGGGAGGCGTGAAACCGTTCGTCGCTTCGCAAAATCATGAAATGAATGTGTCTCGGTTAGATGTAGACTCACTTAACATATACGTGAAACTATCACGTATACGTGGAATTTCACGTGACAGTAAGTGTTTCTAGCATCTTCCTTTAGACTCTCATCATTCCCAAATTAATTTTGTGCATTTATTTGAATTTAATTTTTAATTTTAGACGTATTTGAGTGTAATTTAGGAAAGATCAAGTTCTCACTGAACGCCTTGAGAAGAAATCTTGATTGAATTCAATTCTTATCTTAGTCTTTTTTGCAATGAAACTTAATGTTTTTTGGTCATATATATTGTCTTCACTTCATATATAATATAATATAATGTCTTTATTGTACAGTCCTGATTGTTTTGATCGTTTTCATACTTCTTTTAAAAGCATTTGCTCTATGCTCATGCTTATGCTTTGAGTTAAGCCTTTCCGCAGAACTTCATTCGCCTCGTCGTCCTCGTCGTTAACAGATTGTCAGAGCCCAACTCGCAACAAAGACTGTAAAACTAGATATTCAAGACAAAAAATTGTTTTTTTTTCTTCATAATTATCGGCTTTAAAAAAAAAGATTTTCAAACTATTCTGCTCTCTTTCTATCCTTCTACCCCTCTACCTCTCTGCTGCTGAGGTGTTTGGAGGTAAAAAAGCATTTCTCTACAAGTTTTATCGTCATCAACATCTAATTATACTTGAAATGTTCTTTTCTTCTCATTTCATTGTTACAGAACAATCAAATCGTATGAATTCTTGGAGATCCGATCCTGTTCTTATCAAAGAGCCTTTATTTGAATTCATACACTATTGGAATGAAGGTATAGAGCTTTCTTACCTCCAGATTCCATTTCGTATTTTTTTCTACAGAAGAGTTGGATGCTTCACACGTTCGCTTTCAAATAGAAGATGTAAGCTGTCCCTTGAGCAATTCTCTTTTTTTTTTTTTGTTTTTTCTTTATTTCCTTTAAAATCTTTTCTTAATTGTTTTTTTTAGTTCAAAACATCAATACCAAGCAATCTACCGCCCAATGAACAGCGACGGTTTGAAAGAAAGCTTGAAATGAAATTACAGCGTCAACAAATTTTATTTCTGGCCAATAGTAAAGACAGTTTTAACGGTAGTGTCCCAATGCTCATTCTTGATTATTTGCTCAATTTTTCGTTTTAGAACCATTAAGACGACATTCTTCTATGCCGTGCCTTTCTTCTCTCCGAAATACTTTTGCAATCAAACGAGTCTCATTCATATCCAAGGAAGAAATTGCTTTATCCAATGAACGTCGAAGAGCAGCTAGATGTAGTCAACCTGTGAGTTTCCCTTCCTCTTCCTTGTAGACGTAATTAAGAGAAATTCTTAGAAACGTTGCATACTCAGAGAAAACTTTTAAATAAACTTGCAATCTTTTGATAGCATTAAGAGATTTTGAATTTCGCATTCGATGGCGTGTGAAGTTTTTCCTTTCTTTTCAGGATTGGTTATATTCCCCCAAACCAATTTTAGTTCGAAAGCCGCGTTGCGCATCACTGCCCTTATGTCACATGGATTATGATTCATTCAATGCATGGCGAAGAGGATCACAGATAAGTGATGAGGTACAAGTTAATTATGAAAAGTCCAACAATACTTTGCATTTTCAGCTATATCGCACAAATCTGTCAAAATCAGCTTCATCTCTATCAAAAGAGAAGCTGAAAGAGACTGAGGACATTTGGTTGAAAACATATGGATTTTTTAAATCATTTTTCTTTCATTGTCGATCAAAGAATCGAACAAAACCACAAGAAGTTATATATTCATAATTTCTATAATAATATAAATAAGATAATAACAATAAAAAGATTAAATGAAATGTTTAAAAGTGGTCGAATATTGGAAGAATTACAGAAATGATTGTTTTTGCAATAGCAGTTTATGCGAATTCTTGAATTTTCAGCTTTTTTACAAACTATAATTAAGAGTTAGAGAGAGAGAGAGAGTGAAATAGGTAATTGAAAGAGAGGAAATTGAAATTACCGGAAGTTTTCTTATCGATTGGAGGTGAATCCACACATCCGAGATAGAATCCACTATCTACAATAAACATATTCACATATTTGGTAATTGATTACTAATAAGCATGCCCAATTCATTTATGCCTTTGTAACAATATTTTCCGGTGCAATACACCTCCTTCGAACAGAATCTGAAAGTTAGTATCATGTTTATCTTTCAAACTTCAATTTGTTCAATGCAAAATGTGTTTATACCTTGAGAAATCAGTCACGTCTTCTGGTACAACACAAGAATAACATTGTAATTCATGAGTAAGTTTCACAATATCTTTTAATATTAATATTATATCATATAAAATTATTTTTGCAAAACTTACACAAAAATATGAAAAGTCTGCTGTACATGCTGGATGGCCGTTAGAAACATTGGAAACGTTCCTTCCATCCACAGCCGGTAACCAAGTAACTCAGTTGCCTTTTATTTCTTTTTTTTTTTAATCCAACAAAAAATTATTCTAAATAAATGGAAAAAACACATTGAATGATATTGTACTGATAAGCTTTGCTCGTTTCTGCTCATACACATGTTTCCAGCAATCAACACCACCTTGACGTAGATTTGTCATTTTTGACATTTCTGACGTGTGAATCGGTTGGGTTTCCTTTTTTTTTGCGACGAAATGTGAAAAACTTCGTCAATTTGCATAATTTTCTTATCATCAAATTGAATTTAAAGCAATTGCCGCTGTCTTGTTCTGATTTGTTTGCTTAAATGTTACCTTGGCAACCTATCATTGTGTTCTTTGGCCATATCCTATATAAGGCTTGAATCTATATGATTCGAGCTTATCATGATATCAAAAAGGCTCAACTACGACCTCATTCTCTATTTTTTTTATATTCAAATATACTTTTAGGATGGGAAGAATCCTGTGTTGTTAATCTATTTCCTCTTACGTTCTGTCCTTTCCTCCAAATCTCCTATTGTTTGGCAGATTATGGATTTTTGCTCCTCTGCTTTCCACATTTCTTAACATCACCCTTTCGTTTACTCTGTTCGTTTTCAATTTTCTTTTTTCAAGAGTTCCATCTAGGGATGTCCGGTTTTAACTTTCTATCAAGCATGAGTATGGATTGTTCATCAGATCCCTGGGGATGTTCTCTTCGACAACTTTATGAAATGACTGATCCCGTGAATCTACGTGAGCTTTTCCCTATTCTCTCGTTTCCGCGAACAAGTCATAACTTACCTTTGTTTCAGCAGATACAACTTTCTATGTTGTTTATTCTATAAATTTGGTACTGATTCTACTTTTTTGGATTTGTTTCTTCTTTCGTATACGAAGAGATTATGCCTCGTACTATCTATTCTCTATCTTTCTACCTTATACTATTGCTTTGATCGGCGTTATAGCTCGCAAAATACTGGTTGGGATATCATTCAACACCATGTCCGCTCCACAATTGTATGTTACAAGTCGTCGAGCATCAAAAAACAATGAAATGCTGTTGTTTCAGAATACCTCGTATCGTGGAAATTGAGATGATCTTTAGTAATACAGCCAGACATGTATTCCCATTGACAACCATGTTATTCATGTTCTTTACTGTTTATGTTGCTTGTTGCCGTCAGCATATTTATCCAAGCATTGCATTGTGAGAGTTGTTTACTTTTTTCAAAATAATTTCTAATTTTGAGTATTCTAAACGAATTGATTGTCGGCTTGGTACTAGCTACTATAGCTTTATACCAATTCATTCCATCTCAACTATGGAGAGACGTTATACAATGGATTAACTACTTGCCACTTGTTGCCACTATAGGTACAATCATTCTACTCCTTCTGGTATGATTCATTAATTATTCCTTAATGCAACTAATTTATTATTTCCAGCTTCTCCTCACATTCGTTTTCACCTGTTGTTGTTGTAAAGCTGACCATCATGAAAACCCTGTAGTCTATAACTACAAACGTCGTCTATTTTGGACTTTTATCTTTATTATATTTATTTATGTTGTTCATCACGCAATCCTCATTCTTAGCTACCATTCGAGGCCGTTCCCTGAAGTTCCATTTACCCTAGAAGGTATACGTCCATATCTCATCGCTGTTCCATTCACATTCAATCTGTTGCCCATTTATGTACTCATTCCCGCATTCCTACTTCTCCCGACGTTCAGGTTTGTTTCTTTCATTTACTATCTGCCAACTCTTCCCACTCACACCCTCAAAAGAAAAAAAGAAATTATCTCACAAAACATTATTTCTTTGCAGAACTGCTCTCTTCTGTATCAGCAACAACAACCGGACATCAGTCTTGCCAACAACCTCATCACCGAAAGCTTAATTTCCGATTCATTCCTTCTTCTTTAACTATATGATAAAACATTCATTGTGAAACAATTCAGATCTTTTTTATTTTCGAGAACAAGAGATTGTCTTTCAAAAAATGAAATCATGGGAGCTACATTCCCAGATACAATTATGGCTAACCAAGTGATGAAAACTATAATTTCATTGATGATTATGAACATGTTCGAAACAACCACGAGAGACGTGTTCTCTCTCACTCTCTCACACAAGTGGCAGAGAACTACTCAAAATTCTCATTATTCCAATTATGTTCATTAAAGAACTTGATCGAAACAACCGTTCTGTTATAAGTATCCTCACTAAATGACGCACGTGGCTCACGTATAATGACGTCATTTGAAATTTGAATAAATTACAGCTTGCAAGACGTTTTTGAAATGGCAAACGAGAATCAAGTTCAAATTGCTGAATAACAGGCTTGAATAGAGGAATTGCCAAACATTTGTTTCACAAAATATGAATATTGTTCGAAAAACATGCTTGTTGGAATAACAAGTTTCTTCCTCTTCAATAAACTCTCTCTCTTCGTTTCCAAATGAGAAAGTTTTGAGAAGAAGAAGGAAAAGAAAAAGGAAAAAAGCCATCTGCACTCAGACAAGCTAACGATAACGCAAGGCGTGTTGTCTGCTTCGACGAGATTTTTCAAATTGTTGGCTTTCTATGATGACAAATGATATGAAACAATAAATTTCTGTAAAGATGATATGCAGCAGATGATAGATGATGATCATTTAAACGGAATTTTTTCTCATCTCAATCACACTTCTTTACATTTTTTATTTATTTGACGTCACAAAGGTGTTGTGGTGTGTATTCGACAAAGACTGCTCTAGTTAAACCCTCTCTTCTTAACTATACCCTATAGTTTTCTCGATTTCAACAATTTTTCACCATCTAAACTTGTTTTTTTATTTCTTGTAGAGTGAAAAAAAGTTTTTTTTCCCAATAACAAGTTATTACATTGGATTACCTTTGGTTTCATTTCCTTGTTCCTGTTGCCCTTCAGCTTACAGTCAAAATGAAAAATACATTTTTTGATTCTGATGTTCTTAAGTCCAGTCAATTTGCCCACCTCCTCTACCCCTTCATTGACAATCATTTTTGTGTATTGCATTCTCTTGTCATCATCTTCCTCTTATATCCGTTCAATCCTTCTTTTCCTTTTCAGTTTTTCTCGATTCAACAGTAAACTTCTCTTTCTCCAATATGGATGACAACTTCAAAGATTGTGGGTTTCAATTTCATTATCTAATTCAATTTCTATTTGAAGTGGTTCTCGTGACAGGAGCTTCTGGCTATGTTGCTCTTCATTGTGTGAGGGAACTTCTAGAAAATGGTTATAGAGTTCGAGGCACTGTTCGAGACAAAAATAATAAACAAAAGGTTATCATGTTCACTTTCACTAATCGCATCTCATCATTGAAGATCGCTCCCTTACTCCGTCTGCCTTATGCTAATGATAGACTGGAATTAGTTGAAGCTGATCTTTTAAAACCTGACCAATGGCCAAGGTATGATATGACTGTCTAGCAAATAGAATGTGACCGCTCCGTAGTGATCAGAAGCAAAAAATGATATTTGTGAAGGATAATGCAACGTGAATTCACGTGAAGCATCTTATAGATGACGTGTGCGGCATGTGAAGTCTCCGTAAATGACGTGTGCGAGTGTTAAAATGATTTCCTAACGACTAATTGTCTTAAGAAAACTACAGACCAGCACAAAAATTCATAAGAAATCCTATTCTATCATAAGATAGAGAGAAAAAAACTTGTTTTATAGTGCAATTTCGGGCTGTGACTATATACTTCATGTAGCATCACCTTGGCCAATCGTAGCTGACGAATCGGTTATAAAAACTGCTGTTGAAGGTTACCATATGAAGAAAGAAGGTTCACAAATAACTATTTGAAGGAACTTTGAATGTATTACAAGCAGCTGCGAAGTGTTCAGAAATCAAGAAAATAGTTTTGACTAGCAGTTGTGCTGCTGTAAATGGTATGATTTCTCGAATTTGATGTCATGAAGGTCATCTTAAGATGTCAAACTTCTATTGTTTCTCTTCTAATCACGTTTATTTCATAGATGGTCACAAGAATAGCTCAAGGATCTTCGATGAAACATGCTGGACGGACTTGAATAGCTCCTCAGTTGAGTACTATGCTAAATCTAAAACTATGGCTGAAACAGCAGCATGGAACTACTGGAAGAGCATAGAAAGTAATTGTACATACGCATAAGAGTTTGAACTACAAGCTGAACTTGCAGGAGAAAACAAATATGATTTAACCGTACTCAATCCTACTTTCGTTACTGGCCCCGTGCTGTCTGATGTCGAACATGGAAGTGCGACGGTAATTTTGAACTTTGTTATGTTGAACACATTGATTCCTTTTGAGATTATTGGAAGAATGATGGATATTCGTACATATCTGGCAGCCCCACATGTAAGCTTAGGCATTGTTGATGTGAGAGATGTCGCGAAAGCTCATGTTTGTAAGTTTCTTCCTTTTTTTGCAGGAAATAGTCTATTCAATTCATTTTTAGTAGCTCTGAAGAACAAGGAATCAAACGGTGAGAGAATTCTGATAACAAGTCAGCCGTCAGTATGGTTCAAAGATATGACGAAATGGTTAAGAAAAGAATTCCAAAAACAAGGTATTTCTATAAAAAACGTCTATTTGATCATTCACATTCTTGATTAGGATATTACATTACACCAATAGAAACACCAACGTTTCTGTTGAAACTTTATGCGGCCACTAAGATTGATCCTCAAGTTGCAGCTGTCATGCATCGAGTCGGACCAGAATTAAGATTTGATAACTCAAAGGTACGCATGACAGCCTAATAAGATATTTCAAATTAATTTTTCAGTCTTTACGACTTTTCCAAATGAAGTATATCGACCCAAAAGTCTCAGTTCTGGAGATGATGTATAGTATGATCAGCTGTGGAATGGTGAAGGCAACAAAGAAATTTGTAAAATGTCAAGAAAAGAAATTTAAAAAAGTTAAATGTGAAGCTTGAGAGAGCTCATTACTGAGTGAATGCTCATGTATATTACTCAAATGATAACTGACAATTGAGAGTTTTATTTTTTTGAGAACAAATGTAATCTCGTTAGGAAACTTTTGGAAATCTGATTAACTTGATTGTTTACAAAAAAATATTTAATTTGAACAAAATTAAAGATGAAAGAATTCACGTGTATGAATAAAGAATTGAATATATGTAATTGAAGGTTATGAATATTATTTTTATATTTCTTCATTTCTAACCTTATGATACGAAATGAGAAAGTACCATTTGCATCATTAATTACTCTTTCATCAACTTCCTCATGTGAGATCTAACTCCTCCTTCTACATGCTAGATAGTTCTATAGATCTACTTCATGCGGTCAAATCTCGAACACAAATGTTTTAAATGAACAAAATCTTATTTTTAACATTGATATCTACTACAAACAATTTGTAATGAAGAAGCTCATATGAATAGCTAGTAATGATAGTTCTTTTTACAAAGAATTGGTATATTTATCGCTCATAATAAGAGTTTTAACAGTTATCAA